TGTTGGCCATGATGGTCTCGATCTCTTGACCTTGTGATCCACCCACTTCGGCCTCTCAAAGTGCTGGGATTACAGGTGTGAGCCACCGTGCCTGGCTAATTTTTATATTTTTAGTAGAGATGGGGGTTTCACCATCTTGGCCAGGCTGGCCTTGAACTCCTGACCTTGTGATTTGCCCGCCTCAGCCTCCCAAGCTGCTGGGAGTACAGGCATGAGCCACCACGCCTGGCCTGTTGTATTCTTAAACATGGTACTGAGCTCCCTGATTGCAAGCCTCAATCAAGCTTTTCCTCCACCTCTCCTGCCCTCCTTCTACCTTACGAGTCTGATTCTCCAGCCTTTAGTCTACTCTGTGAATTCCTAAAACTTTTTATTAAATTCATTTTTTTCCTCAGGGTATCAAGAGATTGTTTCAGTTGCTTTCAATGAGGAAACTAAACACTCAAGAGTGATGTACTGTAAGTTTTAAAGAATGATATTGACTACTTATAACAATGCCAGATATTTGGGGAAAGTAATCTTATGTATGAAGGAACAGCATGAAAATGCATATTGTTGTTAGGTTTACAAACATTAACTGATTATCTGAATCACCCCTCTCTTTCCATCTCCTCTTTTAATAGCATTAGAAATATTCTATGCAAATAGTCCAACATTCTCTTTGCCAAGCAAGGTTGTCCAATTTTTTCACAAATAAAAAACCATCAGGTTTAAAGCTTGGATTTAGCAAATATGTACTCTTTCAAAAAGACTGAATGAAAAACTAAACAGAAATACATGTAACATCAACTTTGACTGCCATGATGATCATATACAAAATTGTAGAAAACTGATTATGCTTGCTTCCCCAATCTCCTGCAATTGAGCTTATGCACTTTCACTGTTTAAATTTTATTTGACATAAGTGAGAAGCTAAGTAAGTAAAAGCACTTTTTAAAAGATCTGCAACCAGGATCATTGTATTAGAGTTGCAGACAACGAACTCAGCTCATGAGCTTGCCTTCAGATTTAATTCTAGATGTCCTTTCTCTCTTGCACATGTGAATAAACAGAAAAAAGGTTTCCGTTAGCTCAATCTCTGGTTTAAGCAGAAATGCAATCATCATGGTTCCTAAGTGTTGTGTGTACACTTTCTAACTCAATTTTCTCAGCATTATTTAGACACGCTCACTGCTTAAACCTGATAGAAAGCCTTCCCACCCATACCAATTAACCTAACCCTGCAATTTTGTGTTACCCAGTCGTCCTTGAATCCTCCCTTGTTCTCCTCTATGCTGCTTATTTGAATTGGTTTGAATCCTTGCCCAGAAAGTGTTTGTAATCTAAACATTGTCTTAATCTTTTTGGTACAATTTTTCCTGCTTTTTAATTTCCTGAGAAACCCAAGTGAATTTCCAAACTTTTCTGCAGATTGCATGGAACACTACTTTTTAAGCGCAATTTTCTTTCAGCGTTTTGCCCATAGGAACTGGCATGTGAAAAACAGCAGTCATTGGCCAAACCACAATAAAGAGCTTCTCTCCCTTCCATTCTCATGGGCTTTCTAGGTGTTTCTCTCAGCAAGATCCATGAGGGAAAGAAAAGACAAAAATATTTCTCATCTGTCAAGTTAACACTCTCTGAAAGTTAGGCATGGGAAAATATAAATCAGTTGAGAGCTATGAAGTGAACTGTGCAGTTGCAGTTACAAATACTATGGATATTTGAGATTGGGTTTATATAAATGAATGAAGCTTAGAGAAATCTACAAGATGGCTCAAATAGAAAATTAATTACTAACCCATATTACTTAGAATCATAAAAGCAAGAGATAGTCATTAGAAGGGAGGAGTACATTCTTTGAAAAGGTTTCATTTAAAACGTGGTACTCTTTAGGTCATCACCTTTAGCCCTTCTATAAGTAATCTTGAAATTGCAGAATGGGTTCATGGATTTAACTGGATTGTTTGGAATGCATGAATTTATGTATTTGTCTTCCAACAAGGACAAAGAGGTAGGTATCCACACCCCTTCAGTTTCAGAAAGGAAGTGACTGAGACTTAGAATTGTGCTGTGTCCAGAGCTGCATAGCTAGTAGTTGGTAGAAGCAGTATTTGAACGCAGGTCTATGTGACTACAGAGTTTAAGTTCTTAAACACTTCTCATCCCCATGGAGAGCTACAAATGTTTATGTCAAAAATATAAATCTTTACGCATCAAAACTTCTTTGAGATGAAAGTTCCACCTGGCAGGAACAACTGTACTTGTACTGTTTATCTTTGGCAATGGGAAGGGAAGTCATTCCCATGTAGGCCAGAAATGTTTCCATCTATGCAATAATAATTTGTCTTTCTCTTAAAAGAATAGAGAGGAGTTGACATTTTGCAAAGGACATGCCATGAATACAAACCAACATAGAGCTTTTGCTTAACCTGAAATTATAATAATCTGTATGTACAAAAGCTCCAACTATGAGACCAAACCTACTTATAAGCAGTGATCTGGTGATTCAGTCCTTTTGTAGAATTATATGATGGACCAGGATAGAATAGATTCTAGATATATAGGAGACTGGGGTGATTTGAATGACTTATTTTTAATGCATGTGTGTGAATGTGTGTGGGTGTTTGTATGTAATGGACATAGATAAAAAGGACAATATTCAATACTATCTAGTTTCAAATAATTATTTTAAGAGTTACCAAATGATACATGTGTTCAGAGTATAGGGTGTTTTTAATCTCTTATTCAAATAAACCCATGTATCTTAGAATTCATATTTAAGTTGAGTTTTCTTTAATAGGTTGACTGTCTTCCTCCTTTAAAAGCATGTGATCAAAATTGCATACTCTGAAATTGTCTTTCTTATATTCTATTTACTGCTGAGATGCTTGCTGCATCAAAATGTATCTGAAAAAGCTGGAATGAATAGCTAACCACATTACAGAACACATTGGTAAACTATGATAAGCCTAAAACGATGTATATTGTATTACTATGTTTTCTCAGTTTTCAAGCTAAATTTATAAAATAACTGTTTTTCCTTAGAACAAATATTTCACCCAGAAATATAATTTTTTATTTGTTCATGTCCTAATATATTTAAGAGGCAATTTTTAAAAACTAATGTGCGGCCGGGTGTGGTGGCTCATGCCTGTAATCCCAGCACTTTGGGAAGTCAAGGTCGGTGGATCACGAGGTCAGAAGTTCGAGACAAGCCTGACCAATATGGTGAAACCCCGTCTCTACTAAAAATACAAAAATTAGCTTGGTGTCGTGGTGCACACCTGTAATTCCAGCTACTCAGGAGGCTGAGGAAGGAGAATCGCTTGAACCCAGGAGGCAGAGGTTGCAGTGAGCTGAGATTATGCCACTGCACTCCTGCCTGGGAGACAGAGCAAGACTCCATCTCAAAAAAAATCCAAAAAACAGGCTGGGCGCGGTGGCTCACGCCCATAATCACAGCATTTTGGGAGGCTGAGGTGGGCAGATCACGAGGTCAGAAGATCAAGACCATCCTGGCTAACATGGTGAAACCCCGTCTCTACTAAAAAAAAAAAAAAAAAAAATTAGCCAGGCGTGGTGGAGGGCACCTATAGTTCTAGCTACTCCGGAGGCTGAGGCAGGAGAATGGCGTGAACCCGGGAGGCGGAGCTTGCAGTGAGTGGAGATTGCCCCACTGCCCTGCAGCCTGGGCAACAGAGCAAGACACCATCTCAAAAAAACAAACAAACAAACAAAAAACCCAAAAAACAAAACTGGTGTGTGTGTGAGTGTGTATGTGTGTCATAAGTCAGAGCCCGCAAAATTAGAGTCTACGGACTTTTGTTAGTCCACAGAAAGGTTTTACTTGAACATAAATTTAAGCCAGTGTTTAAACCATGTGAAAATACAGACTCTGGATGAATAATAATTTTAATAGAAAACATTAAAAGCGTAGTTGGACAAGACGATCTTCTGGTTTGAAACAGTCAGAGATGTTGAGTCACCCTTTGCTGAATGTTGAGGGTTACTATCTACCATTTTAAAATAAAAGATGTTCTGCCAGTTACCACTAAAGTGGTACTTTCCCATGGTAGAGCTGGAGAGGAGGTTGGTTAGTAGGAATAAATGGTAAAGTTGTTTGCAACTTTCTAAGGCAACACCTTTCAAATTTTAGAGTATATAAGAACCACCTGTGAACTTGTGAAAATGCAGTTTCTCTGCTATACCCTCAAAGGTTATGATTGAGAGATTTGGGATGGGGACCTGAGTATTTGCATTGTGAAAAAGATTCCCAAGTGAGGCTGATGTTGATGTAAAGACCAGAGTCTCACACTTACTGGAGTAGAATTTCAACCATTCAATTGACATCATATACAAAAACTAGCTCAAAATGTAATCAAAGTCCTAAGTGTTCAGAGTTACAACAAAACTATAGAATCTGAGAAGCAATAAAAATAACTATAAAACCTTAAAAGAAAATCTTCATGATCCTGAATTATGCAATTTTTAAAAATATCTGCCACAAAACACAAGCATCAATGTCAACAAAAACAAATGACCAGGCATCATCAAAATTGAAAACTTTCTTTTTCCCTTAAGATAGAGTTTTGCTCTTGTTGGCCAGGCTGGGGTGCAATGGCACACTCTCAGCTCACTGCAACCTCTGCCTCTCAGGTTCAAGCGATTCTCCTGCCTCAGCCTCCCGAGTAGCTGGGACTACAGGAAACCACCACCAAGCCTGGCTAATTTTGTGTTTTCATTAGTGACGGGGTTTCACCATGTAGGTCAGGTTGGTCTTGAACTTCTGACTCCAGGTGAGCTATTGGCCTTGGCCTCCCAAAATGCTGAGATTACAGGCGTGAGCCACCATGCCTGGCTGAAACCTTTTTTAATTTTGCTTCAAATGACACCAGTAAGAAGGTAAAAAGAATTCAACGTAGTAGAAGTTTTGTGTAAATAATGTAAGTGATGAGGGACTTACACCAAGAATAAAGAACTCTTACGAGAATATAATAAAAAGATAAATAGCTCAATTTTAAAATGGCAAAGAATTTGATAGACAGTCATCCAAAGCCGGGTTGTACAGAGGCAGCCGCAGCAACACACACAGCCGTCTGTTGAGTCGCTGGCGGGATAGAAGACCGAAAGGCCTGCTTCAGAGGGAGGATGAACACTTTAGAGGAAGAGAACTTCTTACTGTCTTTCTCCTCCATCTCTGGTGAACAATTTTATGCTGTAGCTGGATACTATATTATGCTGGATAACGTGTTACAGTTATTACAGAGAAATTTCTTGGACAAATACTGTCAGGAACTTGAAGACACATTAAAGAATAAATTCACCTACATGCCTACTTTTAGTGAATATATTTCTTTGGTAGAAAAGTATATTAAAGACCAGCTGCTGGGGCAGATGCTTGGATTTAACACGGCAGCCTTTACGACATTACAGCACCATAAAGAGGAAGTGGTTGGTGACATATTTGACATACTGTTCACATTTACAGGTTTGATAGCATTTAAAGAACGATTTCTGGACTACAAAGAAGAAAACCAAGGCTGAGACTGGACTTAAGCAGTGGTTTAGTGGTGACTTCATTGTGTAAATCATCTTCTATGTTAGCTTCCCAGAACGATCTGAAGCACTAGGTCTTATCTCCAGCCAATGAATGAGATCATTCCGGATGTCACCAACCCAAAAGGCCAATAGTCTCAGCTAATAACAACGTAAGAATATATTTTGGAAAGACTTACTGTGTTCTGCAACTATTCCCTCATATTATGTATTGATGGGTCAAAACCAAAATGACCTCACCCTCCTGGACATATTTCTCCTGAAACACCTTCTATGTATTCATTCACCTTGGTACGCCTCCTGAAGTGTTTAGTAACCCTAATACTCCTCTCCTCCCCAAGTAAAAACCTCTCTCAGATGCTTCTGAGTCAGACCCCTGTGAAGAAAGCCCATGTCAAGCATTTCACCTGGAGGGCCCCTGGCCCAGCATACATGTTGGGGTGTTAACAGCATGGACTAACCCACTATCAGGAGCCCTCTTTGTCCCAGTAGCTTTGCATGAATCTTTTTGCATGCTCACAGCTATTTTGTACATGGTTCAGAATTTCAGCCCTTCAGTCTCAATGGGTTTTTTTTTTATATATTTATCTAGCGTGTTACTCAAGCCAGCTGCCTGTCTTGATATTTCGGAATCTTCTATGATGACAGCTTGTCTTGGCTTTAGGAATCAGCTGATGAAAGACATGACCTTTTCCTAAAAACTACATGTGAAAGTCAACTACTAGTCTTAACATTTGCAGTCATAGTGTCACTATGTCTTCTTCTGGTCCTGATGTCGTAACACTGTTTCAAGAAGTCTCTCTTAAGCATTATTTAAATATATAGATAGATAGATGAATACTCAAGCTTACCTAGTGGCTATCATCTTGGAATGTTCATGATTATTCAAGGATCAAAGTATTATATGCTGTGTGCTTTTTAGTCTTTAGTGCTATGAAGACAAAAATGCTTCCTACATTGTCCTTTGTTCCTATTTTAGTGGGCACCAATGAATGTATGCTGTGTGTTGGAGACAGACTAAAAGGTATCCTGTTCTTATAGCATGTTAAATGTGTCTGTGCATATTTGCAGAAAATCCTTTCTGTATAAACCAGTTTGTTAGGTTCGCTGTTGGGGTAGGTACAGACTCTTGTCATTTCTTCTTCCTATAAAAATCTCTCCTACCACGACAGTGTTCCACTGATTGAGCTCAATATGAGCAGAAGGTAGTAAATAGCTTTACTGGTCATCTGTCTGCTTTGGTTTACTACAATGTTTGGTAGAATATTACTTACAAGAAAACACATACGTCACATATCTAGAAAAAAAAAGTAGTAACTTAATTCCCAATTCTTTGAGTTTCTAAAACTAAAAACAAGGGTCTGTACTGACTTTTCACGTCAAAGAGCTACAAGCTATGTGTTTTTGTGTACTGATGTGTTGATTAAATACTTTTGCACCATGAAGGACAAAAAAGATAAGCAACTGACCAATAAGCACATGAAAAGATTCTCAACTTTATTAGCCACCAAGGAAATTAAAATGAAAACCATAATGAGATACCACTTTACACACAGTAGGATGGTTATAATCAAAACAAAGGACAAATAGCAACTGTTGGTAAGGAGATGAAACCACCATAATTGTTGGTGAGAATGTAAAATGGTGCAGTTCCTTTGAAAAACAGTCTGGCAGTTTCTCAAAATGTTAAACATTGATGCAGTAATTTCACTTACAGGTGTAGGTGAAAGCATATGTACACACACACACACAAATCTTATGCATGAATGTTCACAGCAGCATTATTTATAATAGCTAAACAAATGGGAATAATCCAAATGCCCATCAACTGATGAGTGTATAAATAAAATGTGTTATATCCATAAAATGGAATAGTATTTGGCAATAAAAAGGAATAAAGTACTGATGCATGCTTCAACACAAATTAACTTTGAAAACATGCTAATTAAAAGGATTAGGTTATGAAGAAACTACATATTTTATAATTTCATTCTATGGAATGTCCAGAAAAAACAAATTACAAAGACAGTAAGTAGATTAGTGGGGTGGAGATACGAGGATTTTGGCGGGGTAATGGCTAGGGGATATGTGATTTCTTTCTAGAGTAATAAAAATATTCTAAAATCAGTTCTGTTCATGGACACACAACTCTCAGAATATACTAGAAACCATTAAAGCATACATTTAAATGGGTGAATTGTATGCTATGGGAATTATATCTCAATAAAGGTTCTTTTGTAAAGACACTCAAAAACATTTATTGAGCAACTACTGCATATTGATCACTTGGTCATTTCCCTCTTTGTGACTTTCAGAGTTTCCGATTAAATAGCAATTCTTCTGGAAATTTTTTCTAACCACCTTTGCCATCAACCAGATTTGATGCTTTGACTAAGTACTTTCAACACATCCTATACTTCCCCTTCAAAGCATGTCTCAGACTTTAATGTGATTGATTATTCCATGTTCGGTCACCTTTCTCAGATTCCAAGTTTTAGTAACCATGAATGTCTTGTCTTCTATTATCCCCATAACTTACTACAGTACTTGGTAGAAGTGACACTTAATAAATTATTCTTGAATTAATTAATGAAGGACACATGTTCTTATGGGATTATAAAGCTCCTTCTTTCTAATTTCATAACACTCCTGTAGCATGAAGTGAAGAGAAAGTCAAGGACTTCCTCTGCTATCCACAAGCATGACCAAGGGGGAAGACAAAGTGACTTTCATTGCTAGAAAAGACTACGGTGAATATTTTTAAAAGGAGCATCAGATTGCAATAAGAAGACATTAAAATCCAGATTATATTTTTTAAGCTGTGCAACCCTGGGCAAGTTCCTTTACCCAAGAACTTCTGCATATCAGTGAAATGCTGAAAATTATACCCACTTCTACTTTCCTCCTCTGGGTGGTTTGGAAGAACAAATAAGATAACCTGAATGTTAACCCCTTGTAAAAGTGTGAAACTGTACAATTATAAGTTGCTAATGGTGTGGCATATTAGTAAAGAAGTAAAGCTATAATAATTAAGGAAAAACCTGTGTTTACATCAGAGCCCTCTAGCAGATATTCTAAAGTGCCTACACAGCAGCCAGCCTTTCTTCCTTGCCAACAATCCAATTTTGTTCGAGCAGTCATGTGCCTAGCTCTGAGGAATGAATTATGGCTAGTCTAAGCAAATCATTAAAATGATATTTCCTTTACCTGCAATTGGTCTTAGAATGAACAGGTGGTTCAGTTCTTGCCATTAAAAATTACCCTAAATTCATTGTATGCGGCCGGGCGCGGTGGCTCACGCCTGTAATCCCAGCACTTTGGGAGGCCGAGACGGGCGGATCACGAGGTCAGGAAATCGAGACCAGCCTGGCTAACACGGTGAAACTCCGTCTCTACCAAAAAAAATACAAAAAACTAGCCGGGCGAGGTGGCAGGCGCCTGTAGTCCCAGCTACTCGGGAGGCTGAGGCAGGAGAATGGCGTAAACCCAGGAGGCGGAGCTTACAGTGAGCTGAGATCCAGCCACTGCACTCTAGCCTGGGCGACAGAGCGAGACTCCATCTCAAAAAAAAAAAAAAAAATTCATTGTATGCGCCAGAGAAAGATTTTCTTCCTTGAAAAGAGGCACACTAAGAAAACCTTTTTATATTCACCATTTTGCTTCCTGTGTAAGATACTTACCTATAAAGACCTGAGACAGAACAATGCTGCCACCATCCTCTAGCCATGAAGGAAGGGACAAGAGAACCAGAGATGCTGCACCAACAACTGCTACTGAGTTACCCTTGGACCCGTGTACTCCCAGACGTCTTGTCATCAAAGGTGAATAACTGCCTTTAATTTTGAAGCCGCTGTTGATAGGTTTTTGTAATAGTGGTTGTTGAAAGCATTGTAACTCATACTCAGCTCTTTGGGAAATGCAATGGCATGGTGAACTGGGGAAGACCAGGAATCTGTCAAAATACCTTTTTTTTTTTTTTTTTTTTTTTTTTGAGACTGAGTCTGCTCTGTCACCCAGGCTGGAGTGCAGTGGCGCGATCTCGGCTCACTGCAAGCTCCGCCTCCCCGGTTCACGCCATTCTCCTGCCTCAGCCTCCCGTGTAGCTGGGACTACAGGCGCCTGCCACCACGCCCGGATAATTTTTGTATTTTTAGTAGAGATGGGGTTTCACAGTGTTTGCCAGGGTGGTCTCGATCTCCTGACCTCGTGATCCGCCCATCTCGGCCTCCCAAAGTGCTGGGATTACAGGCGTGAGCCACCGCGCCTGGTCAAAATGCCTTTTTATGCTGTGTAAAGCAGCAGCAGTTTAATGTCCCCTTGTGTTTTGCCACTTGAGAGCAGTAACTATAGGCAATTAAATTTCTGAAAATTGGAAAACTTGCTCCTTCATTTAGGCAGATTAATTGAAATGATAAAAGGTATTTTAAAATGTTCATGTCTAAGTACTTGTCACACTCCTTTGATCAAAGGAGAGAAGAAAAAGCACAGGAGAAAAGGGTGGGTTTTGCAAACCTGCGGGATTTGCTGATCTCCATTGTATTAATAGATTCCTATAGGTTCATGACACTGCTTTCCACAAGGTACAATATATAGTTGAAGGCTAATTATGCAATTGTCTGTGTGGCTTTTGTAGCCTTGCTCTCCCAGCCAACATCTGTTTCTTTTATTAGAGTAACCATGTTAATGCAGCCGTGAGGTGCAGAAATACAGAAGCAGGGACAATACACATCCATAATAATTTCTGACAATTCTTTCATTATTTTATCAAATAAAGTTGGTTGTTTCTACTGGGTTGAGTTTCTTTTGGAGGTAATTTTATTGAAAATAAACAAGGGCTAACTCTCCACCCAGACAATGAGTGGCTTACTTAATGGAGGGTTAACGCTTGTGTATTTTCTTAATACTCAATCTTAATACTTCTTAATACTGCCTGAAAAGAACAACTATTGACACATCTTTTTCAATGAATTTTTTTCTTCTCTGCAGAG